TTGAATTGCATGTTCGGAGAATAATTTTAGAATAAGTGTTTTTAGCCTATGTGATTGAATTATAATTACTTTTGTAAAAATGTTAAATTATAAATCATTTTAATGTTTGGTTTCACATTTTTAAAGTAATTTGGATATAATTAATAGTATTTTTGATTAATTAATGTTTTTTTGGAAAGTTATTTCAGAATAATCAAATTACTAAGGACGGTATTACATTTTAGAGAAACAAAAGATCATAGTGATACGTCGACAAAAAAATTATAGGAGAGATAAAAATTTAAGGTAGAAAAAAAAATAGAGTTGGAAAAAAGTTTTGAAGAGAAAAAATTATAATTAGAAAGAGAGAGAAAAAAATTTTAGACAGAGATGGATAAAAATATTATATGGAGGTTTGTGGGGACGACTCAGTGGTAAGGACCTTGGACCTTGTGTTATCACCTGTCATAAAATTTTGAGTTCAAATCTTATCCTGGTCACTATGTTGTGCAATCTAGGCAACAAGACCCGATTATAGGAATCCAGGACAAGTCCCATAGCATTGATTATGAGAAATAAACAAAATGAGAGGAAAGAATTTGAAAAATAGAGGAAAAATAATTGTAGAGATATGCTCGGACAAATTTGAGTGAGAATCTTCTAAGAAAATTTGAGAGAAAAATGTATGAAGATGGAAAAAAAATGGAGAGAAAATAATGTTAAGGTTGGCTCTTGACGAGACAATTAAGAATATATGTTTTATCAAATGCTTTAACTAAGGTGGATAGTTTGTCCCTCACTCAACCCTCAATGGTTGAGAACATTGTTTTCTAGGAGGGATGATATCTGTTGGTATCAGATTCAAAGGATTAGTACACCATTCGCGAACTCAAAACGTAAAATATAATACTTTACTATTAGTGATAGATGTCTATTGATGAATTAGTTTTTTTTTTTTAAGTTCAACAACATGTCGGGTGAGATTCATACCATTAATTTTTTATTTCATTGAGGATATATATGCCTCAACCTTTATTATGTTTGAGTTGTCTCTTGAACTTAATTAAAAAAACCAAAATACAAATTAAAAGGTTTCGGAACCAGAGTTTATTATTATTATTACTATTATTATTCTTGTATAACGTGCAGGTGTCCAGAGTCGAATCATGACCGTAGGTTGGCTTGGAACCAAAAAAAATGTTTAAACGATAAGTTATAAATACCGACATGAACTTAACTCGACAATAATTGATATATGGCTCTGACCAAGAGATCATGAATTTGAATCCTCCAACCTTACTTGTACTAAAAAATAAAAAATGATAAATTATTTAATTCGACGTGCAGTATTATTAATACATTTATATCATTGAATTATGTAGTGATCACTTTACTGTGGCTTAACTACGTAACAATTAAAGAGTATTAATAACCTTTTCAAAAAGACTATATAATACATTTTATAGTGCGTTGAAAATTATAGTAGAAAAAACTATTTTACGACTTCTATTGGATTCTATTATATTGAATTTCAAGTTCATTTTTTATATATACCAAAACAAAAAAAAGATATATTGTGAACTCTTGATTGGACCTTTTAAAAAATTAAAAATAAAATTTCTTATTGTTATTGAAATATCACTTTTTATTATAGAATTTTGTTAAGTTTTTTGTTTTATTTTCTATGAGAATATTAAAAAAAAAAGAGGTAGAGATTCCAACTTAATTACGACTGCTTAGAGAAAGTAAAAATATTTTAGCTGTTGGGTTATGCTTAAATTGTATATAATAAGTTTGTTTTCTGAATTTTGTTTTTTTTTCAACTACAATTGATAGAATAAGTTGGGTTGTTGTTTATCTAAATCTATAGAAGTAAAGATATTGCAAATATAGAAATCTAAAAAATATACATTTATAAACATGGCAGAAATTATAGACTCGGCGAAGTTTGTTATTTTTATATTACTAAGTTACCATTTGATTACTGCAGTTGTAAGTTGTTGATGCTAGAATTCTGCCTCTCGGAATCTCGTCGAATTCGCACCAATCGTCAAGAATAAAGGGATTGATGAGACCTGCAAAACAGTTCAACACTAGGACCGGTGTGGCTTTTGCCACACAGGCTCCGATGCCTAAGTTAGTATCGGAGTAGTCGGGTATAAAGAGTAGGGTTGTTAGGCATACCCCTAGGGTTTGGCTTACCCTTGTATTTATAATGGTCGACTCCTAATTCCTTTAGGATCGGCTGAACCCTAATCTTTCTAGGATTTACATTCGTCGAATCCTTGATCACAAAATGGGCCTCACGCTGTACTATTCAGGCTGAGACCAAGTCGACTCGAACTGGGCTTGCACGGGGGTCGAGAATCACTGGAGAGGTTCCCGACCACTAGGCCGAGAACCCTTCGGCGCGGAGCAGTGCTTTGTGCCGAGGTCTGGTCGGTGCCGAGCAGTGCTCGGCACCGACCTCGGGTTGGCCACGGCCGGCCTGGGTCGATGGGCCCCAACCCACTTACCTACCTCGGGTCTGCTCCTTCTTCGACTCTCTTTCCTCTTTTCGGTTGCTTAGCTGATCTCTATTTTCTCCCTATAACATAAGTTAGTGATTATTATGGTGGTAGGATGTGTTTCGGAGTAATTTTAGCATGGCTAGAATGACATTTATTAATGTCAAAATCACAACAATTTTAAAATATCATGTTTTGCAATAATTTTTAATTGATTTTTAGAAAAATCCAAAATGACTTGAGTGGTGATTTTCAACTGATTTTTGATAAAAAAAAATAACAATAAATTAGTTTATAAGATAATTCTCCGTTTAACTTTCAAAATTGTCTTTCAATTTGACCCTATGTTTACCTTAAAATTTAAGATTTTTTTTTTTAAAATTGTTAATCTCTAAATTTATTTATCATTAATTTTGTTTATTCTCACTAATGTTTTCTCTAAAATTTTCGTAATTTCTCTTTAATTTTTTAGTTCCCATCTAAACTTATTTATTTTTTCTAAAAATTTTGTCTCCCACACTCTAGAATTTCTCTTTCTAAGATTTTTTTTCCTCTCCAACCTTAAACTTCAAATATTAATCATTCAAAATAACTTGAAAAAATGTAACCAAACATTAAAATAATTATTTAAAAATCACTTACAAAATGAGTTATCATTCAATTTCTTCTGTTAAAATCACTAATTCTAAAATCATTCCAAGAGATCCTGAATAAGTTATTATTATTAACGTGTAAATCAATAATTCTTACTATATTAATTAGTTATTACTATCAAATAACTGATTGCTATAGTTTTTGTCAGATACTCGATATATAACTATCTCCAATCCACTACATCGATAAATGTACATCGTGAAATTCTAATTGCCTAATTGTCGGGATATTATAGTTCAAACTTCAAACTGAACTTGGTTTAATGTGTATAAATATTTTTACTAAAAAAAAGTATAATTTACGAAATGAAGATAGAGGAATTATTTAGAGGGAAAAATAATGGATAGAGGAAAAGGAAAGTTCTTTTTTTTTTTAGAATAACAAGGAAAAAGTTAATGGAGCTAGGAAATAGGTTGGCTGTTTATCAAAATAAGTTATTATTATTAACTTGTAAATGAATAATTCCTAGTATATTAATTAGTTATTAATATCAATAAGTTATTGCTATAGTTAATTACTATGGCAATGGAAAGGTTAATAATCAACCATGCAAATAAAAATTGATGCAAAAATGAAAAAAAAAATATTTTAATTAACTCAACCTACGATTAACTATATCTAATATATATAATGATTATATTAATCCAATTATAACAATAATCACAAATATATTATTCGATAGAGAAAAAAATAAAAAATTAGTAATTTAGGATGAGAATCAAATCTTCAACTTATAAAGGAGGTTATAAAATGGATGGCAATTTAAACGGTGCACATAAGCAAAGAGATGCAAACAAGGTATTGTATGCCCTAGAAAAGAACGGCGATGGAAGACGATGTGATGGAGAACTCTCATCGCCTAATGGCCTGGATAGTATAGTTCAAACCGAACTTATTCTAGTTTCAACTATAAATTTCTTAATTAAAAAAGTACCATGAAGAGAGAGATAGGAACTATTTAGAGGGGAAAATTTTGGAGAAAGAACGTGAAAAGTATTATTATTACTTTTTTTTAATAGAATAACAAGGAGAAAGTTAATGGAGATAGGAAATAGGGGAGGGGTAGGGAGTTCTTAAACTAGGTAGAGGAAAGAGGAGAAAGGAAGCAAAGTTTTAACCTCAACATTTGAAGTAAGCAAAACATATTTTAACAAAAACATAATAAAAAATAATAAAAAATAAAGAATAAAAAATTAAGCAACAAACTAAAGGTGAAAATTATAATTTTGTTACTATCTCTCTCCGATCAATATTCTTCCAGCTCTATTACCAACCTTACACTCTTTCCCGTCAAAGCGAGCATAGCTCAGCGGTAATTGGCATATATCTCCAACCAAAAKATTGTGAGTTCAAATCCTTTCCCCAACATGTTGTACTTAAAAAAAACCTTGGACCTAATATATTAATAATAATATATTTTGACTTAGAACAATACCTACGTATTTACAACACTCATCTCTTAGTTATCAAAAAATATATTCTTCGTTGGTATTCATCTCCAAATTAGTTCGGAATTCAAATTCACGACCTTTTGATCGTGATATATACCTTACATGTTAAGGATAAAGAGATCTAGAAATGTTTTATAATGAATATGAGCTACTCCTCTCATTCCCAATTGGTTTTGAGATGGAACTCTATGAAAATTAATATGGTATTAGAGTCCAAAAGCTCAAATGAGCATTCGGTCCAGAAATGAGATTCGACCAACATCGATGAGCCAAAAGAGCCATAATTTGAAAGAGTATGTACCACCTAACAATCGTTTATAATAGATATGTACTAGTCATTTACTTCGTTAGATTTTCTATAAATAACAAAGCAACCTCGTCAACTGTCAATGTAGCAAGAGACTTTTCTTTGAAATTGAAGAACAAATTAGTTTTCATTAGTTGAAGGAATTAATCAAGAGATGGAAGTGGAAATCATTTCAAGAGAAATCATTATGCCAGCAGCTTTCCAAAGGAATCATCATCATTATCAACACCAAAAAACTTTCCAACTTTCACTTCTCGACATTTATGCAAGCGAAACTTACAGTCCGTTCATCCTCTTCTACAACACCAAGAAGGATCAAAGAAGTAATAATGAAAATGCAATTTCCAGTTTGAAACTCTCTCTGTCTAAAACATTGGCTCGCTTCCCCATGCTTGCTGGAAGAATCAAAGGCAATTTTGTGCATTATTGTTCCTCCAATAATGGCGCTCTCTTTGTTGAGGCCTCAGTCAAAACTTCCATGGCTGACTTTCTCAGAACTCCAAACCTTCAGTTTCTTGCAGATCTCATTCCTTTCCCTGATTTGGTTCTGAAGCAGCCGTTGGAGACGGCTGTTCAGGTTTGTGATGATGGGTAAACTTAATTATTTATTTATTCACTTGTTTGGTCATCACCGAGTTCTTTTGAGTAACTTTTGAAGTTATATATAAACTGTCAGGTTTGAATTGGATGGCCAACCTAACCCAGTTTGTGTTTTTTTTTTTTTTAATTATCACGTTGGCAACGGAGAATTAGGATTAAAACTTAATCGATGGTTGATATTAAGATACAAAATAGAAGAAGAAAATATGAAAGCTATAAATAATAGGCTAGGATTAACATTAAATGGACCGCTGCATTGAAGATAAAGATATTATTATATATATATATAATTAAGAAAAATACACATATATGCGCAAATTCGGGTTGGTTAGGTTGACCCGATTTTTCAAAAGTTGAATTCGAGACCCTACCCAACTCGATCGGGTTAGAAAAATCACAATCCAACCCAACTTGAGGCTTCATCCAACCCAATCCAACCCTTACGATTTAGGTTGGGTTGGTTGGGTTTTGAACACCCCTCATCAAAATAAAACTTTTCTTAGACATGATTTTTTAATTTAGATTTTTTAATTTTTTTTTACAATGTTTTATTCTTTTAATTAGTTTACTGTCTCCTCCACAAACGCCTCTTTGATCCTCCATTGATATTATTTCAAGCTTTTATCTATTTAGTTAGTTCAAGTTCCACACATTTTCTTTTAGCCCTTTAGTGTTGATAACTATGTTTTGGGTTGTCCCCATATCTTTTTTTTTTCACTGTTTGTACTCTAAAATCGTATTAGAATCCAACAAGTTCAAATGAACTTTATAATATACCTGAACTATTTCTCTCATTGCAAATTGATTTTAAAATAGAAATCCACGAATATTGATAGTACTGAATCTAAAAGATAAGATACCATGTTGAACTTTCATTGAATATAATCAAGGTTTAAGTAGATAGGTTATAGGTTATGAAAAAATTAATCTTTCATTCATATTCTATGGTAGGTTGCGGCTCAAGTTAACTTTTTCTCGTGCGGTACTGGAATTGCATTGGGCTTTTCTTTCTTACACAAAATGATAGATGGAGCCACCATGAGTGCCTTCATTAAAACTTGGGCTGCATCCAATGAAGGGACATTAGACAAATTAGCATGTGGGAGTTACAAGGCATCATCTTCACTTTTCCCAGCAAGAGAAATATCATCCAATTACAATGATCTGGTGTTCCCAGAAACTGCACTTTTAGTGGCACAACCAAAACATTGCTCTGTAAGAAGGTTTGTTTTTGATGCTATGGCAGTCTCAAATCTCAAAGTTAGAGCAAAATCTCAAAGTGTTTCCAATCCAACCAGTGTTGAAGCTGTAACTTGCTTTATTTGGAAGTATGCCATGAAAGCTACATCAACATGTAAATCATTAGGTAAGAATCCAATGTTAGATTTGTACTTATATTATGAAGATTTTTTTGGAAAAAAAACATTAAATGTTATCAAAGAAATCCTAAATTTTTCTAAAAAAAAATAAAGAATTTTAAAAATATTTACAAACACATATGCATCATAATAAGCAAATTTTCTCAATCTTAACAGATAAGAAAGAAGTTGTTGATACAAAATGGGGGTCACTCTTAGTTCATATTGTTAACATGCGTAGAAGAATGCAACCACCATTGTCGGAATATGAAGTTGGAAACATTTTTTGGACAAGTCGTGCTTATTATGAAGCATCAAACACAGACACAAACTTGGCTGATCTCGAAACTATATTGAGACAATCACTACTCGAAATCACCAATGATTTTATACCTAAAGCAATTGGAAACGATGGATTTGAAACTATTTTGAGTTCATTACACCAATTATGTGAGTGTTATGCAAAGGGTTCAGAGTCATTTATATTCTCAAGCTTGTGTAACATGGGTTTAAATACAGTGAATTTTGGATGGGATAAGCCTATATGGATTGCAACCGGAGCAAAATCTAATGAGTCGTCGATGCTGCGGAATATAATTTTCTTGATGGATAGAACATCAGATGAAGGGATAGAAGCATGGATTACTTTGGATGATGAAACAATGAATTTGTTAGAAAATGACTGTAAGTTTCTTAAGTTTGCGTCTCCCAACCCACGCATCACACTAGATTGAGATCTCATTGTACTGTTACTTATGTTTCAGTTGAGTAGTTTGCGCAATAATTAACTGTGTTTTGTTATTGAAAGTCTCATAGATATGAGACTTAGATTGTATTAATTATCAATCTGAGTATAGTGAATAAAACTACTCCCAAAATCTCTAGTCTTCGTTTTTTGCACAACCTTTTTTATGGTATCAGAGGTATAGACACGTGTTATAACCTTTTCAAACAACGTAAGAGAATCTTGCTACCAAATGGCTGATGCTGATTTTCGGGCTGGTGCCACATGTATATACACACATTATGACCTCTTTCGACATTTCCTTTGTCCGTTGTTGCATCCTCACAACTGTGATGAATACAAGTGCAAGTGTACACTATATTCATTGTTTGTAGTATGAACGAGGTCGAACCCACAGGGACTTAGAGTGATTTTTGAAATTTATGCTTTAAGAATACTGAAAATGGAAGGAAATAATAAAATAGAGATATGTTGGTGTAAAAACAATAATTGAGAATTTCATAAGCAAAAGTAGTAAACAAATCCAACCGTGAACACAAATTGTAAACGTTCGGATAATAAAAAACTCAAGCACATAATAGAAAAAGGGATAATATATATGGGAAAAATGAGGAAGATTCTTTATCCTTTCACTAAATCCCAACTCTTCTCTGGCATGAAATCGACTGTTATTGCTCAACTCGATACAGTTCCCTCCCGAGAGACCCAAACATGAATACCCACAACTCTTATTGCTAGATACTCAAGCAATAAAAACGAGTTTGAAGCATGATTAGGGGATCCCATTCTTGAGTATCTACGAACCTACTAAAGAAAAGTAGCTAAATACAAATAGATCATATCAACTAACTATACATCCTTCTGGATCATATAGAATCTATCAAACTACACAAAGTGGCCAACCGTGTTCAACAAGATGAAGCAATAAGCATAGTTTTATTTAATAGCAAAGTGAAGATAGCTAGAGTATCGATTGTTTAGAAGTTACAACATGGAAATCTCCCCAAAAATGAGATTTAGCTCAGGGGGGAAAAAGAAAACGCAATGGGCAAAGAAAAGATACAACCTATTTTTGAAAAAGAAATAAAAATGCAAATGGAAAACAACAGCATGCAATGGAGCAACTCATCTCTATCGTTTGCTCTCCTTCCGAATATGGTGAATTTCTACTCCTTCTCTTTTCCAGCATGCAAGGAATGGTATCTATTTGGATATTTCCCCTTGGGGATTGATGATGAGACAACCTTCATCTTGTTGCTTTTATAGCTCCCCCGAAAATTAGGGCAAAATTTAGTAAAACGCGAGTTGTACGGACATAAATAAAAATCCCGCGTAGAACTTGTTACTAGGCCGCCCAGGAAGTTTTGCAGCATCTGATGCTCCAATACAACGTGCTCTAACCTTGCCATGCTCCAACATTTCTCCTCAAATTTTGCTGCCCCTTAGCAACTTCTCCATATTTTGCACAATTAATTCAAGATAGGGAAAAATAAGTAGGATTTGCATCAATTATTCAACACAAGGAATTAGAACATGGTAATTAACTTGTCCTCTCAATTCCTCACTTCTATAAACAATTTAGACACAAAACCTCACAATTATGCACAGATTTATCCGAATAATTTCTAGAATAACTCTCTTTTGAAGAGTTATCACACTCCCAAACTTAAAATCTTGCCTGTCCCCAAGCAAGAGAATGCACTTCTACCCATTAATAAAAAAGAAAACACTAAGTAGCTTGCAGACCCAACATCCAAACTTATGCCCCATCACTTTGCTTTTATCAGAAATACTAGAGCTTACATAATCTTGCTAGAATGCTTTAGCAGGAACATAAAAAGGAAAGTAGCTTTAACTTGCTCGTATTCTAGAAAACAATGTTTTCCACCGAGCTCTAACTTCTTTCTACTTTCCATTCACAAGCGTAACTTCCCCTAGCGAATCTTTTCTCAAGCCCCCTTTCACTAACCCCTTTGCACAACCAACTAGGGTTCTTCAACTATAGGCTACTAGCCTTTCCTAATTCTGCAGTATTTTTTTGCTAACGTATGCGGGCTACTGGCCCTCCTTTTGTGCTTGTTTGTTTGTTTTTTTTTTTTGGTAAAGAGTTTAATTACAAGATTAGAAAGATTCATAGTTGTATACAAAATAGCTACCAAAGGCTCTAAGAAATGAATGTTCACTCCCCCAAACATAGAAAAATGCATTGTCCTCAATGCAGCTCAAGACAACCCGAACATAATGCTTTAGCACGCCCCTAAATTTAAATTGAAGCTATGATAAGAAGTATAAGAATGCTCGCTAAGAGGATGAGTACATATGTAAGGAAGGCGAATGCTAAAATCTTAGGGGGTCTATAAGATGCCTAGGCTACCTATAGGCTTTGGAAAGGCGGCCATTAAAATTATTCTCATAAGCTCAGTGCTACTTAAGGCTAGTACTATGAGAGAGATGCTAGGGCATGGGCAGGCAAGCATAATCTAGAGGTTGAACAAAACAAAGCCTGCAAACATTTAAATGCTCCCACATAGATATTAAAGACTTTGCTATGCAGGCTCTAGCACTAAGATTACTAACAAAGCACAGGGCATAAGACAAATTCTGGGGCATAAGACTTGCTAAGCACTTTTTTTTATTATTATTAATTAGCATCGAAAAATCAACATGTTGATCTAGAATAAAGAAAAGGAAAAGAAAATAAACATAAGACAGATTCGGGAGACACAAGACTTGCTAAGCACTCCTTTTTTATGACCTCTTTTGACATTCTTTGCCTTCTTTGATTTCACAGTCGGGCAACGATATTCAATCGCTTCATACTTTTCAACACGCTTTGCTAGGTCAGTTTGTCAATACATCTAACTGCATTTGAGTGTCCATACGGTGCGCTCGGCTTCCACTTTCCAATGCTCTCGGTATGTGTTTAGTGCGCTTTTCATGCCCCCTTTACTGGTAAATGGAGTCCTGTGTGTTGGCATTTGGGGTTCCATGAGGCGTGCCAAACCTTTTACTCAACAATGGCCCCACTCTCTAATCAGGCCATTTCCTTGTAGGTCGACGGAGAAATAATAAGGTTTCAACATTGGGGTGCCACGTGCAACCTAAGTACAAACATGTCGCTGACTTCTTGAATGGAGAGTTGGTATGTTGCTCCTTGTGCCATCATGCCTGACTCTCGAATGATGACCTGGTGCAGGTGCTTCTTTTTTCTTTTCCAGTTGGCATGTGTCTCGAGATCCATATCAGACTTTCTACTCTACCACCGTCCAATGACTCCTTTCGTCTGATAATTATGGGGGAGATGGTCCCTAGGTTTAAAAGCCAGAGGGGAAAGGCCTTTCTCCTCTTCCTTCTCATTTCGAATTTGCCCATTTGTTCTTTGTTTTTCTCCTTTTGTATGCCTCCTCTTTTCCTATTTCAATTGCTTTTCTTCTATATGTCAACTAGTGGTAGGCTATGTGCACTGCGCCTGAGAGAAGACAGGCCCTAGGTAGGGGGCCGTGGCCACACCTAGGCTCAAGGCGGAGCATTTTTCGTCGAGCCTAATGTAGCGGGACCTTGATAAACTCCCAGATCAATACAACATCCTCCAGACCATCGTGATGCACCTCTATACTCCCAATAAGACAATCGACTCTCCCCCCACAAAATCGGTGGAGCTCTATCGGTGCATGCATTCGAACATAGGTTGAGGTTTCCATGTCACCCCTTTGCCTAGCGATTCGTTTTTAAGGCCTACATATTGCCCAAGGCATCTTGCTCCCAATGGATGAGGTTACATACGGAGCTTATGGGTGCTTTTATTGGTGGACGACGAGAGCTCCAAGGTATAGGCCTACAAGGTATTTCAAATGTTCAGTCTACTGACTGTCACATATCGCTCGAATCATTCATGCCCATCTTATTAGTAGGGAAGCTATTGAAGGGCCTGATTCCGTGAAAATTGGAAGGACGACAGGTACTTTGTCAGGTGCGACTGGTCAGCCCCCACCAATAGAGGTGTGTTCCACGTACCGCTCGAGTTTGACGAATAAGGTGGAGCACATGTTTTTCCTTTTTGGTCGTGGTGCCTTCGTCGTGCCTAATTGCACTTTTGGTCTTTTTATGCTCCCCTAACTTAGTTCAAAAATTGAGCGCTCGCACCAAGGAAGTGCTAGAACAGGTCAGTGAGCTCGGGGGGCTGCTGCTCCTAATCGACTCCATTCCCATCGAGGACCATCTCATTCACAGCGTTCTTATTCTGATGGCCCTTCCTTCTGATGATAACCGTCGAGCACCCCTCAGCCTCCAATTTCTAACTTGCTAGCACCGGACAGAGACCCCCGTAGCACCACTATATTTATAAGCAATGCTAGGTGAATCTAACGGTAACCATACACAATCTAAATAAAAATGTACATTAACACAAATTAGAGCCAAACACGCATCTGATATATTCTTCCTAACATACAAGAGCAAGTAATCCAAAATTGATGTGCAACATTTCAAAATAATAAGAAACATAAAGCAACTTTACTTGACAGCAAAGGAAAAGTCGAAATTATTGAAGGGATGAGAATCCCGGAGCGGAAGCGGATCTTCGTTGCTGATTTTCGGGATACAAAACCGAAACTGAAAGAAGGAAAATACAGAGGAAACTTTACCTTTGAAGAACGTTTCTTCAACGAGT